ATAAATAACATTCTCTCAACACATTCACACACACACACACACACACAATAATAAATAAATCGTATTACACAGTATTTACACGTACATAGTTTCGCGGTGAAACCATTTTCTATTTGGTTCTAGTTTCCGTTCGGAAAACCGTGTTCGAAATTCAAAATCGAGCGGGCAGCCATCTTGGAACGGTTTAGGTCACATTTGGTCGATAATTCGGGTTACTGTTGTTTTTAATGTTTATTGGTAAGCGTTGTATGCGAGTTCTTGAGCGAGGTCTTGAGGTTCAGCGTCTCTACGGCGGCGGGTGGCGGCGTAGGCAGCATCCCAGGGTCCATGGGCCGCGATCTGCGGGTGCGAGTTGTCCGCCGCGATCTGGGTAAACTACAAGGTTAGCGGACATAAACGAAGTGTTATGTTAGTCAATACACGTATAAATAATTTGCTAATATTGAAATGAAGTGCGCTGATTATGTTGTGCATAGAAAGGGGTGCCAATAAATTGTTGACTTAGGGAATTGTGCATAAGACAGCTTTTACAGTTTAAGTAGGTACTTTTTACTTAATTTTTAATTATGTAGTTATTAAGATTTACCTTCTTGCACAGTTGGAAAATAGCGAGAGCGACGGAGACAACGAAAGAGAAGAAGGAGAGCTGCAGAGCATTCCAGGCCTTCAGACCGAGGACACCGATGGCGAGAGGGATGAGGGTCATAGCCTTCAAGAGCACGAACACCAGGATGGGGACGATGATTTTCTTAAGCTTAGCCTTGCGGGCCTCGCCGACGGAGCGCGCGCCCTCCTTGTTGAACTTAATGTTGAGGCTCAATTCATCGTTGTCAAGGTTTCTAGGGCTGACGGTCACTTTGGTGTCGGCGATGGGCAGCTGGAAGGTGACGTCATGGGACTGGATGTAATTCTCGATGCCGTCGAAGAAGTCGCCAGAGGAGCGGCCGCTGAAGTCGTTGCCGGCGCCGTTCTTGGTCACTTCGACTGCGTCAGAAATCTAAAACAAATAATTAATAAGACTACACACATTTGAGACAGTTTTATTTACAATGTTTTGACTAAGTACCTGGAAAGAGTCCTTCTTGAAGATGCTGTCTAAGAGAGACATGACCTTGTATTTGATGCATGCGGTAGGGTCAGATCCCTCCGCGCATCCGGACCTCATCTCCTCGACCATGCTGTCCATGGGGGTGCCCTTCCAGAATGCGGGCTTCGAGGGCTGTGCCGCGGCGCTCCCGAACAGCGCCAGTGCGAGCAGACACATCACTTTAGCTGACGTCATTTTCTATATATTTCTTTGACCTTGGTGTTGTTGACTGGACGACAGCTGGTGAGATTGTGATAGATTCGAGAACTGACCGTCGGTTTTTATACAGCTATTTCAAATTCAGCACGTAGATTGAGGTTCCGGTACGCATTGTCTTTCATCGTACGAGCCGATGGCGTCGGTTACGTTGTTTTGGAATGAACAGGATCAAAGTGTAAGGGAAAGCTATTCGATACGAATCCTCTTCGTTACTTTGTGTGTAAAATGTCTTAAGTTCTAATGTTGACGCTCCTCTGATGTGCGTTTTAGAATCGTCGATGACTGGACGCCTTTTCTGTTGTTTGTGACACCGTACCCTGATTCGTTAGAATCTTGATCCAGTTAGTTCGTCCTTGTCAGTTGAATTGTTTTTCCGTATTGTTAGAGCGAGAAGGGAGAGTGCGAGTTTAGGCATTTGATATGGGGGAGAAGACTAGGCGACGCGTCGTTTGAATACATAATTACGCAAATTGTAATGATTGTGTTTGTCACCTCCGAGATCAAATTAACGATTATAAAATATAGTTTTTATTAATTAAATTTAATGTTGTAAAATACATTTATTTAGACCGTATCTATGCAATAATAAATCAGCAGTTTATAGTAATTAACTTGTAAAACTCATGTACAAAAACATATTTTCATGTGTCTTAATACCTTTCAAAACAGAGTTATCAAATATTAGACTGGACTCAACATGTTTTAGTAGTCAAAATGTATTTTATACATTGTTATGAAATTCAATCTGGAGTTTTTCCATCAATTGCATAGACTATAGAAATAACAAGAAATTAATTCTTAAAATAATGTATTTGTTTATTTAATAAAATTGCACTTATATCGAACAAAAAAGATTCCCTATTAATATAGGTAGTATAATCCTACTAACTAGATAATGCTAGTTAGTAGAATTTTGCATCGTATTATATTCGGGCTGGCTAACAGTTTGAAATTCGCGGGACTGTCTTGTTACTTACCAGTATGTTATGAATTCTGTTTATCTTTAGGCTAAAGTTTCTTTTCAGTAAAATTACCCATTCAAAGTAATACTGTCCCTTTAAATTAAGCAAAATATGTTCAAACAAATGTGTATACAAAGGAACGAGCAAAGTAACTATGGATGGATTGTGTGAATGAGGATATGCGTAAGAAGGAAGTTAATTCAGATATGACGGCTGATAGAGATGTATGGAGTAGTACATACTTTCATCTGTTCTGGATTAATGCCACGTCGTTTAGAGATTACCAGGAGCGAAGCGACCTTGCAGTCAGACAGATAAACAGACAGACAGACAAACAATGTATGTTTCAGTTTGCGTTACATGGAAGCACTTCGATTTTAATTACTACATAGCTGAAGAAGTTTGGTTGAAAGCTGCTCCCTCAAAAATAGCTCTGATTTTATATTAAAACTAGCTGTTGGCCGTGACTCTGTATCCGCGGAATTAAAAAAAAATAGTAGCCTACGTGTTCTTTCAGGCTGTGTTCTATATGTATGCCAAATTTCAGCGAGATCCATACAGCCGTTCTGGAGATACCTTCCAAGTAACATCCATCAATTCATCTATCCAAACGTTCGCATTTATAATATTACTAGCTGTCGCCCGCGACTCCGTCCGCGCGTAATTAAAAAAAAATCTTAGCGCCTTTGTTATCCCAAACTATGTTCTACATCTACGCCAAATTTCAGCAAGATCCATGAAGCCGTTCTGGAGATACCTTCAAACAAACAGTCATCCATCTAAACATTCGCATTTATAACATTAGTACCTCTCTCAAAAGACATTTTAGAACATATTGCGACTAAGTTTTACAATAGACAACTAAGCTTTGGCACTTTTCTTTCTAGAACTTTGTATTAACAAGTGTACAATGTAATATACTGTGACATAGATTCAACATAACGTGTTATCAAGGCCTCGAATATTTGTGATCCTCGCTCGTAAGGAATACAAATGCAAAGGCTGTCCGAATAGTTCCGCTATCGGTGAAAGTGATTGCTTTACAATTCAATACTATAATTATATATTAATGAGTGTCATTTATTAGGTAAAATAACGTGCTCGTAACATATCTACTTATAACAAATCGGTATAACTTCAAACGTAAGTGCTATAGGATTTTTAATCTTACTAATATTATATTATAAGCTCACTATACATCCCCACTGAGGTGCTCAGTGCCTACCCTAAGTTAGGGGTGACTAGGACATAGGGCATATTTTAAATCAGAATGTTTAGATGTTACTTGTTTGAAGGTATCTCCAGAACGGCTGAACGGATCTTGATGAAATTTGGCATATAGAGCAGTCTGGAAGAACACATTGGCTATTAATTATATTTTTTTTTATTCCGCGAGGACGGAGTCGCGGACGACAGCTAGTAAATAATAATAAAATCCTTTATTTACTGACTTTTTAACTTACACGCTATCTTAATAACAGTAATAACTTAATTTAATAATAATTCAATGGCAATAAATAAATGGCAATTTAAGCGTCAATAGCCTAATGGTTAAGGGTACGTTTTTCCGACCACTAGGTCGGGGGTTCGAATCCCGCCATTCGACGATTGTCGTAAACCATATCCTAGCACAAGCCTAGAGCTTAGTTGGAATGGTTAAAGAAATATTAGTAAATTTACAAAAAAAATCTGCTAATATTTAAAAAAAAAATTATATATATTAAACTTTGGAAGCAGCAAAGCAACCACCTTGGTCAGATTGTCTATCAATATAAAGCATGTTTGTCGACATAGGATTTTTAATACTAAGCAAGAAATAATAAGAAGCGTCAATAGCTTAATAATAAAGCCTATGGTATGGATTTCTGGTCATGTGATCGGGGGTTTCAAGCCTATCATTCGACTGTTTTCGGAAACTATGTCCTAGCATAAACATAGAGCTTAGTATGAATGGTACAAGAAATATTTGTAAATTAATAAAAAATAGATAAATAACTAAATGAGTAATTAAATTTGGAAAAATGATTTCACTTTTGGTACTATTCTATCCCCGCGGCATATTTTTTTTAAAATTTTTAAATTCCGCGCAAACAAAGGCACTGGCTACTACTATTTATAAGGTGAACTAAAAAGCATCATTTGTTATAGCAGTTATTAAGTGATTCGTGGTACAATATGGCTGTTGACAGGTTTTCAACCGCTACGACTTAGGGTCCTTCAAGAAGCGAGCTTATCACTATCTCAAAGGCCGGCAACGCATCTGCGGTTCCTCTGGTATTGCTGATGTCCATGGGCGTCGTTGAACACCTCGGTGTTCCCGCTGCTCGTTTGTTTGTTTTGTTATAAAAAAAAAGAATCTCTTCATTTATTTTGCATCAAATTGCATTGTAGTCTAAAAAATCTAAAGTTTGAGTTCATTAGTGTCTACATTGCTCTAAAATTAAATAATTTTAATTGAAAGATTTAATATAAATATATCGTTCAATGTTTTAGTATTGAATGTGTTACAGAAAGTAAAATCTGTTATTTGCAAAAGACGAGACAATTGTGTGATTGTTTTTAGGACGAGAGTAAATCGTACAAATTCTTTTTCATTGATTTCGTATTCAAGTAACGTTTTATGTAAGCTTTATCAAGGTTTTGTTCTGTTAGACATTTAAAGTGCTGATTTTGATACATCCGATGTTCTTACTTTTAGAAAGAAAATCCGATACTGTGCCGGTGTACTAGCGCAACACTAGCCTTACTAAAATGTCGACGTTTATGTCCCCTCACTAATCATTCTGACACTGGACTTTGTAATGAAATCGCGTCATTCGCGCCTAAGGATTCTAATTGATAATAAAATTTGAGGGCCGGTTTTTGGCTTTTGCGCCCTGGGCGAGAATTATGCGACGTCTACTTTTATGGTAAGTGGTGAAATCTTTCAAAGATAGAGTATCTTACGGGGCACCGGAAGCGCCAGATTCGGATATATGCTCGGTACCCTGGGCGGTTGCTCTATCTTGCCCTACTCTAACGCCGTTATCTTTCTCACGGTGAAGGAGAACATCATGAGTATCATAGGAACAATATGTCAGATTGTCGTTTAACCAGGTTAGACATTATTTTGTATATGTGAATTGAGTTTATGGAGAGAGATAACTACGTAATAATTTGATCAGAGAACGTCTCTAATTATAATGTAAAGTTTACCGACCCTGAATGATAACAATTCATTTATATGAAAAGTTTTGCTATTGTTATTCAAACCTTATCATATTGAAATAAAGTTCATTTTTCTTTAAACGTGTTTACAAAAATTTCAATGCCACTTAAACGGTTCCGCTGAAAAATTTAAAAGCGATAAGCGTAGTGTACATTGAAGGAAGTACACAGGTTTCCAGTGTCTAGATACATGTATAAAAACACTTTTTATTGGCAGGTCTTACCAACAAGACTAGTCTTTAAGTTTTTGAATAAAATTCAAAATCATGATAAATAGTTTTCCATTAGCAACATTAATCTGGTAATACGATTATTTTTCATAATATTTTTTTACTAAAATAAGCATATTCAATTTCGATAAAAATAATTCGCATCTGGCAAGTATCAAGTAATCATGAAACGCAGTTCTTTTTTTAACAGGCGTCAGTGTGCACGCGGCGGCTTACATCATCTCGGTATCAACAGTTTACCGAACAAACACCTGACTAAACAGTCGATGACGAGCCTCAATGCAAACTGCATTCTAGCCCACGCTGTCCGCTGATCATACATTCATTGCCACGCCTAGGAAGCCACCGACGAACCAAAACTATGGAGCGAAACCCACACTTCGAAAGGTAAGTCAACCATTCAATTATAAGTCCGCTTAGTTACTTTATTGTGATCGCACAGGCCGCACAGAATATGTGCTCGTGACAAGAAATACTTCGTTGACATATAAACAACGACCCTATTCCATTAATTCCTTGTAAGGTCGAGAAATGTCAAAGTTAACTGTGACTAATTTCAGCAAGAGAACCGGCAGTCCGTTCCAAAAAGATAAAGAACCAGATGGTATAATTCACGAGGAAGTTCTGCAGAAGACAAACTATGATATACAGAAGGAAAAGAATAATGAACTTCTGCAGAAGATTAACAAGAAGACGGCGGAGTACCAGTCGAACAAACCGAGCTCCGGCGTGTTCACAGAAGTAGTGACCCATGGTGCGTTCACTACCAAAAAGGTGGAAAAGGAGAAAGCATCGAAAGTAGAAAGTGTACCGGCCAAGTACGGGAACGGTTCAAATTCTAAATCACTTCTCGGTTACCCATCATCAGCTAACGACTTAGCATTAGACGCCAAATCAGATTTAGAATCCGATCCTAATATATCTAAAGAAGTTAAAGATAAAGTTATTGAAAAATTGTTTACATTAGTATCAATGGTGCAACATACTTACGAATCTAAAGTTCGCGTAATGACTGACTTTGAAAAGTTTAAAGATACAAATTTAAAGAATGAAATCCGCAGAGAGAAGGAACATTCCGAACAACTATACAAATTAAACATGAACTTTCAGAATGAAGTCATACAAGCAGTGCAACAATTGAAGAGTGAACTAGATATATCTAGAAATATATCTAATAACGTAGAAGATAATAATATTAATAATATAGAAGATTCTATAAGTTTTAATACGAATGATGTTCAAACAACGTTGAATAAAAATATTTTAGATGACGTCACCGATGATAGAACCCAACAAAGCGAACAATCAGTTACCAAAGTCGACGACAAGTCGGAATAAATTAGCATAATTATTTTACAACTGTTTAGTTTAATAAAATATATTTATACTCTACGTTTATTCATTTACCAATAAAATTATTTAAACTTTAGTATATAAAACTTGGAGCGTCGGTGGCTCAGTGCTCAAGCACTTGACTTGCAATCGGCAGGTCCTAAGTTCAAATCCCGACATGAACCAATGTGTTTTTCGATTTCCGATTTACATATGTACTTTATCCGACGTTCCAACGGTGAAGGAAAACATCGTGATGCAACCTGCACATATCTGAGAAGAAACTCAAAGATATGTGTGAAGTAAACCAAGGTGAAAAAATTTATTTTAACAGGATTTGTCTGTAATAATGATTCATTATTGTAATAAGCATATATTAATTATAGTTTCTATAAAAATGACGTAGATTCATACACAAGTTCAAAATAAACAACATTTTCGATCAGTTTTAAGATAAAATTTTCAAGCGCCTGACGGAAATAAATAGCAAAATATTATATCTGATAAAGTAATATTCATTTAACATTTATTTGTAGTTTTATAACCTCAAAATTATCACAACTGATTTAAAAACTTAATAATAACAACCAGTAAAAAACATAAAATAAAATAGAAAAGCGTAGAATAGAGAAGCTACTTACTTGAGATATAAATTGACGTAAACTATTTAATTTTATAAATATGGTATTTGTTTATTATTAAAACAAAATGGGCGTCTTTATAACAAAAAAACACAGCAAGAAATCAGGATGATAAACGTGTTTTGCATTCGTTTGCCCTATTTATGTAATAACAATAACTGTTTAGTAGTTTGACATTAGATACAACAAAATTGAAGAAAACATAAAGCACATATACGCTTATACTCATAAGGACTTAAGGCGCTGTCAGAGGCAAAATGCGCTTACTTGAAAGCATAGAACAGGACATCTAAAAAGATTTGGTTAGTCATATTTTAGTATGTGTAACTTCAGTCCTTTAACTAGATTCTGATCGAACAGAATTCGGATTACATATAATTTTCTTGATAAATTTATTTTTTGAAAATATGCCTACTTTGGTAGTAAAAACTGTGCATCTGCAAAAATACGACGAATTTAAGAAATCTTAATACTATTATATATGTATACCTACATACAAAAGAATTTGATGGCATTTGACTTTAAGTAACTTTAAAAAACTTTAAGGAAAACGAAAAAGTATTATTCTGAAAACGAGTTTTGAATGATGTAGTCTTACGTTAATATTGTTTTTATATAACTTGCTCATTAAACATGGTATATATGTCACACGTCGGGTTTCCGAGTCCAAAATCGCCGTTTAAAACTTACTGTTATCTCTATTTTGTTAAAGATGAAAGACAAGGATGACGATATATTTTATCCAGAGGTTTTCGTGTCGGAAACCTACGGTAAATAATATTTAAAAAAAAAATAATTTATCATACCTTTATGTTCAAACAATACTATTGTATTATATAAAAACGTATAGCCTAAGAATAAGCACATAAATGAGCTACGCATTTAAACAGAAAACGTGTTTCTAATTTTTAATCAGCTATTTTTGACATATTAAAAACTAGTTTGTCAGAGATGTTTAAGATTTGTAGAAGTATAACGTACTTTGTGAATTTTCTTTAAACAATATTCAAATATGTTTTCTTAAACTTAATATGAAATACTCAGAAAATAATTAAATTTATTTATCAGTAAGTAATAATTTATTTATTATTTCAATATACCTAGATAACTAAAGACTTAAGGATCGAATTAGTTTGATCTTTGCTTATGCTTTGGATTCTTTAGAGCCTTTTTATTCATCATCAGCTCACTATACGTCCCCACCGAGGGTCTCGGAGCCTACCCTAAGTTAAGGGTGATTAGGCCATAGTCAACCACGCTGGCCAAGTGCGGGTTGACTTCACACATATCTTTGAATTTCTTCTCAGATATGCGCAGGTTGCATCACAATGTATTCCTTCACCATAAGAACGTCGGATGTACATACGTAATAGAAAAACACATTGTACATGGCGGGATTCGAACCCAGGTCCTGCAGATTGCAAGTCAAGTGCTTGCAAGCCACCGACGCTCTGGCTTTTTAGTGATTGATTTAAAAATTATGAATTATATTAACTATATTTGTAAATAAATATATTACAGAAATGTCGGTGACAAAACATCTATTATTTTCAATCATATATTTATATGCATTCAAAGAAGCTTTTGCTAATATAACATGCGAAATACAAGACGATGATGAAGAAACAATCGAATGTAGCAATGATAATGAAACAGATTGTGTACTGCAAAGAGGATTATTATCACCATATGGGAATGTTATAACAATTTTAATGAATTTATGTTTCATAGAAAATATAGAGACGGACGCATTTGAAGAGATGCATTCATTAAAAAATCTTGATTTGTCAGAAAATCACATTGAAAATATAACAGTTGGCACTTTCGATACATTAATAGATTTAGAAGAATTAAATCTATTCAATAATTATATAAAAGACATACCAGTTGACTTATTTAAGTATAATATTAAACTGAAAAAACTTAATATAGGAGATAATTTATTGTTATGGATTAATATTGGAGTGTTTGATAATTTAGAATATTTGACTACTTTAGTTCTATCAAACAATTATATATCTGGAAATTATTGGGATTCTGATGTATTTAGAAGAAATATTAATATTATGAATATACAATTTTCTGGTAATAATATGACCGAAGCACCTAACAATTTGTTAACTTACTTCGTCAAATTAATAAGTATAAATTTAAGAGACTGTCATCTTAAAGAATTTCCAAAATTTCTCATATCAAGTAATTTAACAAATATAATAGTTTTGAATTTACGAAATAATGAAATTCGAATAATTGAACAAAATCATTTTGATAATTTCGAGATATTATCTATTCTAGATTTATCAGCAAATCAAATTGAATATATAGCTGAGAATTCCTTTAAAAGAATGAGGAAACTAACATTTTTAAATTTAAGCAAAAATTTACTGACTACCATACCCAACAAATTATTTGCTACAACATATAAATTGTCTTTACTCGATTTATCATATAATATGATAATATATCTACAAGAGGATTTATTCAAAAGGACTAATTTGAAAAATTTAAATATTGCTCACAACAGATTGACGTATCTGCAACAGAATTTCTGCCAGCAACAGAGAAATAACGGAGCATTTATAAAGAATTTCTACTTCAATCATAATCCATGGCAATGCGCTTGCTTAAGAGATTTGTTAGACGAAGTAAAAGAATTAAGAATTAAATATAATTCTACATATTTCGACGGCGGTCAGCCAGTTTGTGTCACTACCGAGGAGTTTGTATGTAAAAGACAAGAGAATCTCAACAGTTTCTATGCAGATCTATTTGATAGTACTGTACATTAAATTATCCTTTGATGAATTTAATATTTGTAGTGTTTGATTGTAACATAACCTTTGCGCAGCCATAAAAAGCAGCATAGCTGAATTGTATGAGCCAAGTTGAAGAACCGTAAATAATGTTATGGTACACATTCTTTGTCTTTTTATTTAATTGCATTAAAAAAAGTGAAATCTTAAATGAGACTTTAGTAAAGTCCTTCTCAGCCATGAGACGCCCACTGCTGGGCATAGGCCTCTCCCAAAGTTCGCCACGATAAAGGGTAAAGGAAAACAGGTAAACAGTAAAGGGTATACCATACCTTAATAAGAACCTATGTTCTATGTTGCGTACTGTCTTCCAGAATGTGTTACTACATCTACATATGCCTAATTTCAGTGATATCCATGAAGCCGTTTTGGAGAAACTACAAGAAATATCGGACAACAAGGGGCGGAGTTACTGACAAACAAAAATAAAAACATATAGATAAATTGACAACCATTTTGAAGTCGATTAAAAATAGGGCTTTTCTTTGCTTGTCTTGCACAGTAGTATGTGGCTGCGAAAAGGTTAATAAACCTACTCGGGAACATGTTATCATATAAACTTATACATAACTATAGTTTGTATAATATGAGCAATATGTTATTTATGTCAGTATGCAACAGGTTTTCCCTGAGTCGACTGTGTTTAAAATCCTAACCTCAAATGTGTTTAACAAATATAAAAGAGAATATATCATTGAATATGTCTATGGAAGATTGCAAATTATTTGTTTTTTTACTTTACAATTTTAATTAACTCTTGAGAATATTTATTAATAGTTTTATTAACTTTTGGTGAGTTATTTAACCTAATTTCTATACGTTAAGAATTTGTTTTTAATTTACAATGAGGTTAACTTCATTTAGTGATTGCTTATGTGTCGTTGATTATTTATTTTTTCTATCACTTTTTAATTTTAATTCTTTTTATTGTTTTCTGTAACATGTTCGATTTACAATGGATTTCTGAGACTAAAATTCTCATTATAAAACTTCTTGCTAATATTATAAATGCGAATGTTTAGATGGATGAATGTTAGTTTGAAGGTAGCTCCGGAATGGCTGCATGGATCTGGCTAAAATTTGGCATAGATGTAAAACATAGTCTGGAAGAACACATAGACTGGTTATTAACTTTTTTTTAATTTCGCGCGTACAGATTAGTGGGCGATAGCTATTGTTATAAAGTTAAAGTTCTCTTAAAGATAATGAGTGATGCCGATATGTTTTATACAGAGATATTAGCCTCAGAAGCCAATGCTTAGTACGCGTCATTTACGATAAGTGTCTGCGGGGATAAACCCGTGTAATCAAGTATACAGTAAGGTTATGTACCCGTTTGTTAGTATATGTCAGATGACTTGATCGAGATAGTCTCCTCTCCTTTTTAAAATAAAACTTGATTTTGATTTGTTTTCTCATTGCAAAATTGGTTGAAAAAAACTGCATTTCAAGGTAAATAATGATACATTATATATTATTCTTTTTATTTAGCTCCATTAAAAAAGCATAAAGTCTTAAATGTGACTTTAACAAAGGGTAGGCATACCTTAATTAGAAACTATGTTCTACGTTTCCTTCTGTCTTCCAGAATATGTTCTACATCTGAGCCAAATTTCAATGATAACGTTAAGCTGTTTTTGAGATTATAACAAACATCCATCCATCTAAACATTCGCATTTATAATATTAGTAAGATTGTTTTGATTTTTAAAATCAAACTTATTATTCGTTAGCTTTTATTTTAAGAATTGTATAACAAATTATAAAGTACTAGCTGTCACCCACGACTCCGTTCACGCGGAAAAAAAACTCAATTTTTAACCCGTATGTTCTGTTGGCTATGTGCTATATCTAATGCCATATTTCAGCAAGATCCATGAAGCCGTTCTAGAGATACTTTCAAACAAACATCCATCCAAACTTCCGCATTTATAATATTATTAAGATTAACATCCATACATTACAGATTAACGGACAATGGCAGTTATATGGTGCGTAATTTTACTTGGTGTAATATTAAATATTGAAGCGAAACCATTTTGTAAATTCGATGATGAGAGTTCGAGACATTTGGAATGTTCACCTGGTGATACAGATTATGTATTAGACAAAGGTCTCGTATCTGACAATCCTCGGACTATTACTATTCGACTTAGCATTTGCAAGATATCATCATTGAGCAATGATTGTTTCGAAGGTCTTCCTAGATTAGAAAGACTAGATATAGCTCATAATAAGCTTAGAACTCTACCATTAGGAGTCCTAGATAAAGTACCAAAGTTAACATATTTTAATGCATCGTATAACAGAATAATAAATTTACCAGTTGGTTTATTTGATAATATTCAAAATCTAATACAATTAGATTTAACTGGTAATCATTTATATGAAATTAATCCTGGATTGATAAAGAAAGCAAGTATTTTATATCTGTCAAAGAATTATTTGCAAGGTAGAGATATACATCCAAATGTTTTTGAAATAAGCGATGTGAATTTTCTTTTACTTAACGAAAATGATATGAATAGAGCTCCAGATAATATGTTACGGACATTAAGGGAACTTCTTTTTTTAAATCTAGATAAATGTTCGTTAACAGAAGTACCAAAATTTATAACAACAATAAATTTAGATACTGTAACACATCTTACTATGGCTGATAACAAAATAGTTGCAATAAACGAACCTATGTTCGACAATCTTAAAGATTTGGAAGTTTTAAATCTGACTATGAATTTACTGGACAGTTTAAATGATAATTTATTCACATCATTGAAGAAATTGAAAAAAATCGATTTAAGTATGAATAGATTGAAAGTTATAACGGAACATCAATTTCAGAATACACCAGTTTTAAGTGATGTTAATTTATCTTACAATTTTATTACGATTTTACCAGTGAATGCATTCCGTGCATCAGCATTGAGTAATCTGGATATATCAAATAACAGACTCACATATTTACAAGATAATTTTTGTTTGGAATTAAAAAATTCTGGAGCTGCATTAAGAGATTTTAATTTTAGTAAAAATCCATGGCAATGTGCGTGTTTACGTGAATTGTTAAGAGAAGTGAAGACAATGAATTTGAAATACGATGATGTTAATTATGACGGGAGTCGTCCAGTTTGTGTGAGTGCTGGTCAGTTTGTCTGCAAGAGACAAGTGTACGACAACCAAGTGTTTTTAGATATGTACGATCTTATTCACTAAGGACACTTTTAAAGTGATTTAAATTTTTGTTTATGCATTGACTTGTATATAATGTTGACAAAGGTCATCATCATCAATGCCCTTATCCCTATCGAGGGTCGGCTCAGTATGTACTACTCCTCCATACATCTCTATCAGCCGTCATATCCGAGTCTACCCCCTTCTTACGCATATCCTCTTTCATACAGTCATTCAAGACTTTTTTTGGTCTTCCTCTACCCTTGTAGCCATCCAAATTCAATCTCATTACTTTTTTGCTTATATCATCATCATCCCTCCTCATAACATGTCCAAACCACGCTAATCTTTTACTCCTCAATTTCCCGATTCAAACTTCCTCTAATATACACATTTTTAACTATTGACAAAGGTATTTTTGTATATTTGCTTAATCATCAGCACTATACGTCCCAACTGAGGTTATCGCAGCCTATCCTAAAATAGAACGACTAGTTCATAGTATACCACGCTGACCCATTGCGGTATATTAGCTTGATGAAACGTTAATCTATGTTTTAATATTAGAGAGATGATGATAGATGTTAATTACGATTATTTTCAAGTTTTTTTTTATCATAATGTGGCAATGAGCGAGCGGCCACCTGAAATCGCTGAAATAGCGAAGTGACCGTTGCCCATTGACATTTAATCGACGGAGGAGAGGATGCACAGAAAGAAAATATTTTCCCCTTCCATGCATCCTCTCATCCGGAAAGTCCACTTCCACTTCCCATCCTTTCCTTCTAAGAAAAAGGGTGGGAAGGGAAAGAGGACTAAATTAGGCCTCCGGGACGCACAAACATCAGACGAAACGCGGAATTGCTTCCACTTGACGCCTGTCTTATGTATGGTCGTGGTATTTCACCGGGCGAGCCGGGCCGATTCGTGCTAAGATGTTAAAGCGGGCTCTACCATTGTTAATCATTGATAGATGTTGACATATCGAATAATGAAATAACAAAATTATCGGCAAATTCTTTCAAATGAACTAAATTAAAAAAATTAAACATATCTAATAATAAAATTACGTATTTACATTATAATTTTAATTTAATGTTAACGATTTCTGGTATAGATTTATCAATATCATGCAATGAATATCCATGGCAGTGTGTTTGTTTGTTCGAATTGTTACGTGAAGTTAAAGTCTTAGATATAGAATATGATTCTGAAATATACGATGGAAATCATCCTGTATGTGTAACTAACAATGAATTTAATTGTAAGAGACATGAAAATTATAATATATAATAATATTTATTCAACTCTACAATTGAATTATCACCGCATTGAAACGTAGACGACTCTTTACAGAATTATTTTCGTATTGATAATAAATGTTTATATTTATATAAACCTTTTTTCTAAAATTATGTTTTTTCTTTTAATTTTATCAATCAAAATTCCTATTTTTTATCTGTATTTTCTCCGTCTGTATTTTCTTTTTTTTCTCTTAATACAACTGGCATAATGTAAACTCTATTTGGCGGCAGTGAACCAAAAGTCAACCGGTCCATGTGAGCTACTGTCCTACTCTACTGGTATGAAAATTTAATGGAAAAACAATAGTAATTTTTTTAAATAATACGAAATATTCGAAATAATCTTTAGTAAAAAGTATAGTATTTATTGTGAGTATTAATTCGAAATATTTTATCTTCCTTACTAATATTATAAATGCGAATGTTTAGATAGATGGATGTTTGTTTGAAGGTATCTCCAGAACAGCTGAACACATCTTGATGAAATTTAGCATACATATAGAACATAGTCTAGAAGAAATAGACTACTAATTATATTTTTGTTTCCGCGCGGACGGAGTCGCGGGCGACCGCTACAATTGGAATAATCTTAAAATGATTATATGACGCGTTAAACTAAAACAAATTATCTTGTATCAATTATAAATATACATATATAATATGTTATTTAACAAACGCGATAACAATGACAAAGTTTATCAAAATTATAGAAATTAATATTATTTTTAGTGCGACAGAATCCGAACGTCTGAGCAATATTAGATATATTAGATAGCTAGGTTTATTTTTATATCATAATGTGGCAAACGAGCGAGCGGCCACCTGAAATCGCTGAAATAGCGAAGTGACCGTTGCCCATAGACATACGCAATTACATAAGCGTTGCCTACCTTTAATCGACGGACGAGAGGATGTACAGAAAGAAAACATCGTCCCTTTCCATACATCTCATCCGGAAAGTCCACTTCCACTTCCCATCCTTTCCTTATAAGAAAAAGGGTGGGAAGGAAAAGAGGACTAAATTAGGCCTCC